GTTATCAGTAAAGTAAACTCAAAAATTGGTTGTGAAAAGAACAATTCGGATTCTTTTTAAGCACCCTTTGAAAACTTTAAATACAAATTATTATACCAAAAACAAAAAATAGACATTTTGGACTGGATCAACAATTTTTTTATATTAAAATCTCTTAAAATTATATCAAAAATTTAACAAATTAAATTAATTTATTGAAATTTTAAAGAAGATAAAATAAAGATAAGANGTAGATTAAAACATTTCCAATACTTTCTAAGCTGTGTAAAAATATTAAGTGATTTCTCAAACATAACTGGTAGGTCAACGGTTTAATTAAAAATTAAATTTAAAAAATTATACTAAAATCTCTTCGATGTCAGTTGTTTCAAAAAATTCATAACTCCCCTGGATTTTGTACAATGTCCACGGTATTGGACCGTTGGAAAGATGCATTTCTCTTTTTTGAGCCTACATGAACAACCTTTGGTTTTTATGCCATTTTTAAATGTTTTATTTGATATAACATTTCTGCTTTATTTACGGAGGCTAGGTTTGTTTAATTACTTGTAACTAGTACGGTTTTAAACCCCTCTAAAGATTCCTGTGGATCGCTGGAGTCAGTTTTGTACTTTTTAAAAAAAAGGTTTTAAAGGCGAATTTGAGAAAGAAACTCTCCACCAGATTTTTCAAAAATTTATGTAGTTAAAGGTGAATTGTTTAATTTTAAATTACAAAATGTGGTCCTGGGTACATTTATGTTCATTGTTCAAAAGAAGGAAAATTTAACTCACTACCTTCTTTGGCATACTTGGGTATTTATGTAAAAAAAATATTTTGGAGAACATTTGTTATCTTAAGGAAAATTAACCATCCTATTTAAGTTTTGTAGATTTATCGACCAACTTATGCATTTAATGTTCTCTTGGTTGTTATAAGGGATGTGGTCAAAGAAAGACATTTTTAATTTTATAACTTCGCCTATCTTTCGGGACTTTATTGTACCTTCTTCAGGCTCTACAAAAGGATGTATTATACATGTTAATTTTGTCCAATTAAACATGAAGTATATATTTTAAGAAGCACACATTTTTGTACTTACTGATTTTTGGTAAGTAGTATATAAACTTAAATTCTTTTGTTTTCATGTCATTTTATATACTTCTGACCAAAAATCACTAAGTACAAAAATGTGTGTATTGTTCTTATAACGATTTTACAACTATTAGAAAGCTGCACTTCTCGTCCTTCAGCCTATATCGACAACTTTTGGTTTTATATCAATATATTCTAAGGGGAAAAAAAGGATGAAATCAACAAAAAACTCCCCAAATGTTTTATTTGATAAATCCTGATTCTGATTTATTTACGAATCCCAGGTTTATGTCATTACTTGTAGATTACGTGGACTGTCTCAACCCCTCTAAAGATTCCTGTGGATCAGTTAATTTGTTTCAAAGCTTTGTCATTTTCAAAAAAACGGCGGCCTGTTGTTTTTCCGATCCGTTTCATGCAAAACTAAGAAAAGTTCTTAACAACCTACCAATAAGATTTAAAACCGTGCTCCACTTAACAAAACCGAGTATATCAAATCAGATCGTTCTTTAAAGCAAGCGTGTCGGCTTGTTTGACAAACGTTCAAAAAAGGCGTAGCATATAGAGTAAACCTAACACGAAATATTGACGTCATTATTGATCAATCTTCACGTGCGGAAGTGGAACGCGAGTCTTCAAAATTAACTCTGGAGTAAAGCCAATACTTTGAAGGTGGCCGACTTAACCTTTTCTCCTCTTCCAATCGAATATAGGTTAAGCGTCTTCCATGTACTAAAAGATGAAAGGTATCTTCGTGTACCGTTAGCACCCGACCGATTTAATCTAGCTATTAAAATAGCTTAAGAAGAATAGAAAACTTTTTGGCTTTCCTGAAAGATGGCTAGATCCATACTGAAGGATTTAATTGATTGAGTACCGCCTGTCGGTAAATGTACAGGTTAACCAACACCGAAATTATTTCATTTCACTATGTTCAATCTTTTGAATGTAAACTAATTAGAGTAGGTTAACTGTGTACTTTCACATCTTTGACACCAAAAATCAACCAGAAATAGAATTTCATCAGATCTTTCATCAGTTCAGCACGACTTCACCGACTCGCAGGCTGACACCCAGCATCAGTATGAGGAGTTGAAACAATAAATTTCGACAGATGAATTGCTTTTTTTTTATATTTTATTAACATCAAATAATAAGCAAGTGATATTTATTTTGTTAACCTCTAACGTTTTCGAATTTGAGCAATCCTAGTATTAATTTTTTTTTTTAGAGTTTCAATCTAATAATAACACTTAACGTCTAATTTGTGTTGCCCTTTATCAAAATTCTGGTTGATATCGATTCCAGTTTTCACATTTGTAATTGTACAGAAAAGCAGATCCAGTAGCATTTTATAATTCCCTTAGATTTCTTTAAAAATTGATTAAAGTAAGTTTAAAATTAATTACTTTACGGTTAATAGCGTCCGGCGAATAAATTTACCGGTGAAATAAATTTAAACTGGAACTTCGGCTGGAGAAAGTATAATGCAATTATGATGGATTTTTCTTTTAGAAAATGTGAACAGCGGTGAAAACCGTTATGTTTTATAAACGGCACATCGGCGGAAATGGATTTAAAATAAATCAAAATCAGAAAAAAGTGCACGTTTTGAAAAATTATAGGTCCTCTACCAAAACAACGTGAAGATTTACTTTTTTTTGGAAAAAATTTCCCCTTCAAAGATTATTATTTTTCATCAATATCTAGACGTCTAGGAAAACTCACATTTTAATATTAAAACTCTTGGAAAAATTAAAATGGAAATTAATTAACAATTACGAAAGTAAACACATCTCAAAAGGTGCTTCATTTTCGATGTAAGATCAACCAAAATTAGACAATTTTAATTAGCAAACCTATAAAATAGAAATAAATTTGAAGAAAGCAATGTTAATTAAATTTATTACTCTCTTCAGCACAATTAATTACACACCAGCACAAAAAATCTTTGAATACATTACCAATTGTCAATTATAAGGAAAACCTTTTCAAAAATTAATCAACGGGAAAAAAAGACCCATTTTTGGGAAATACCTGTAGATGACAACGACGGCAGGAGGATAAAAAAGACGAAAGGATATAACACATTTTTCCTTGACATCTCTTCTCTTTGACACTCAAAACCAGACTGTTGGCCGGTCTCGTCCGGCTCTCCCGCCTGCTTCATAGATGGCACCATGTATGTTTTCTTAACCCATCCTATTATGTTTGTTAATGTAATTTTTTTTACTCATTTTGGCCTAGTTATTCATTTAAAAAAAACTGTTATTATGAATATTCCCACGCTAACAACATTAATTCAAGTACTAATTTAATTAAAAATAAAAAATTGATTCACTTAAACCTCCATATTACAAAGATGACTCCTATGACTTTCTTAATTTTGTGCAGTATTTCGTTTTTAATAAAATATTCTAATATATTTCCTTTAAACTTTCCCATATGGATCGGTGTACTTATTCCTAGAATATATGAACGATTGACAGCATATAAGTCATCAATATTAATTGATGAAGGTGACTCCTATAGTCACAAATCACCTTAAAAAATGATCAGTAGTTGACTGTTCATTTATTATCTTAATGATGGATTTTGCATGGCGTGGCACACAGGTTGGTTAAAAATATATTTCCTTTAACCCTTTATAGGATAGTGGCAAGTATAGCGACCACGTCTATATCTCCGCACTCTGTCGTTTTTTTCCGATGAGTTTGGATCGTCGGGCTTAGTATTTATGGGACTTACTAGATGCCGACAGGGTCCATCGAAAATAGTTAAGCGGGTGGTTTTCGCTTTGTGGTCTGTACAGTTGCCACATTTCTTTGGGAGCAAACTATTGTTACTTAGTCGCCATTCAGGATTTTTGCTACTCATACTTTTCCCATTGTTTTCCTATGACACTATCGTAGTTATAGGTTTACTAATATATTTTTACGTTTTTTTTTTTTTTAATTATAATAAAGATCTGATTTTTTGCGCAGGTGTTATTAGCCCTCGACACCGGAGATGCTCTTCCAAAAGTAATAAAATCGGTTTTGCTCCAAGAGAGTAAAAAGCTAGCTTTTTTTATTCTCCAATAATTGTTACATCATTTATTTTTTGTCTACCTTATTATTATTTAAATTTTTAATATTATTGGTTTTTTTAGAGAGAGTAATAATTCTGTGTGTGTGTATAAACGGAAATAAAACCATTTCCAAATTCAGGGTTTATCTTCTTCTTAGTCCATTCACTCATTTCGAAAACGATGGCATAATTCAGAAATGGTCAATCGTATCAAAAATTTTATTTTAGTAAAAGTGGCATAAAATAAGATCTAGAATCGAATTGTGCAATAAAAATATGGGATTCTCACTTAAAATAACAAAGTTAGTGTCATTTACCAGCTAGATGAGAAAGTTATGTTGAATCTGTTACCACCACGAGATTCCTTGCCAAAATTAACTTGGGGTTTCTATAAAACCATTTTTTGCTTAAGTTAATCGTTTTCGAATTAAATGGATGGACTGTGGAAGTTGATACACCCTGTTTAAATGAAAATGTTATAAGTATATTTTATGTTATAATAAATATGTAATTATCATTAAGTTTAATGTGTGTGTGTACATATACAGTTTGTACGTTTTTGTAAGTTTTTGTAGTAGTTTTGTATTAAAAAAAAGTAATTCTTATCAATAATAAATTAATAAATATCTATTTCAGAATTTTTATTTACATTACCGGATGTTAAGTTACTTTTATTATCAATAAAAGTATAAATACAATTTATCACCAGAAGTTGGTAGTAAAAATAATGGAAAAGAGAGCCTTAGGTGGTCAGTGACAAGTACTATTGAAACCATTTCTTGAACCCCAAATAAAAGCAATTAAAAATTTAAACAAAAGGCATGCTCATTAATGAATAATAATTTCTTTTTAACAGATCCATAAGAAAAAAGTATTTATATTTTTTAAATATTTACAATAAATAACATCTTAATCAAATTATTTACATTCTTAAAATCTTTTCAGTCGTTTTTTTACCTATTCTTATTTGCTTAATTAATTAGCGTTGTCTTAGTTGAGATAACTTTAGGCACATCACTAGCCTTTCTTTTTAATAGGAATGGTTGTTCACAACTGTTCTGCACCAAACTTATTCCTTTCATCTCTGTTTGAACTTTCCTATGCATCCTTCGCCTCCTACAATATTTCTTGTAATTAAATTCTAATTTATATAAATCAGGTGTCAATCAGCGATCAGTGATCAGGTGAATTTAAAAAACAACACTCAGTTCTTTTGTCTAACTTTCAAGGAATACATCCTATTTATCAGAACTTTTTTTTTCTTCTTGAGGGGCGCGAACCACCAAGGGTCATGTTAGCCCCGTATTTTGTAAGAGAATCCCCCTGCGGGAGGAAGATCGAGGAACCAGCACACCAGAAGGGCGCACCCACACAACAACGCCCCAGCATGCCCAACCCCCAGCCACAGGGAGTCCCATGTTACACATTGCTCGTTTATATTTTGTTGATTAGATTAGCTTCATTTAAAAAGTGAAACAGCTTTGTAAGTGTATCTTGATCATCCCCTAAAAGTTCAGGTAGTGTATTTGGTAAAGCATACTTATTTCTGATACTGTCATATAGATGACATTATCAGAACTTTGACACTATTTTTAATGATTTAAACAATTAACAAATATAAATACATCCTCTGTTATTTTTTTTAATATTATTTTAATTAAAAAAATGGGGGGGGGTAAATTTTCCACCAGTTTTCATTTTGTTATCAATTTATTAGTCATTATCATTAGCAACAGTTTCAAAGTCCTGGTGAAGGAGATGTACATCTTGAAAGCTTGAGAAAATGAGTGTTTTCTTTCTTTCAAATTTGCCTTATCTCTGATCTTTTTAAATAATTATAATACTAAGGCTGATAACAGTCATAATAAGGTAATGTAAGGTAATGAAAATTAATAAGGAATTGTTCAAGTTTAGACTCACCCTTTGAAAGCTAAGTAGATGGTGTAGCCGAGTAAAAACAGCCCTCCGAGTGCCATGAGCAAAAAGCACGTTACACCAATCATCGGAGCGTATAAAGCAAGCTTGACTAGAAAAGCGAGATTCGGTGTGATTGTAGCTGTATGCTCAAACCACAACATCGGAAATACAATTGATGGAACGTCTTTCATTATACTGAAATGAAGAATACGTTAAAATTGAACTTTTTTCAATCAATCAGCATCAGCATACTTAAGATAATCATATGGTGACAATTGAATGTTCACTTGAAACCTTGCTGAGACATCAAGAGGAATTCCAGTCTCCTATATATTAAAATCATATATATATATANTATATATTCAAAAAGGCAGAACACAATATTGGAAAATAAATGTAAGATTTCTTATCGACGTTTACTGGGTGGAACATGTAGTTTGGTAATTTCCAAAACTCCTATCATTCTCTGATACATTTTTTAAATTATTTTGGTAAAAGCACATATCTAAAGGACAACAAACTGTAAACATTAAATACAATAAACTTATTTAGGAAAAAATACAGAACCAACACTAAAGGTTGTAAAATGTTAAATCTGAAAGATCAAAGTATATGGATAAAATTCCAATATACTTAAATATTGTGTATATTATGTATTGTTAATAATATTATTTTCCCAATAAAGTTTTTTCCTTGGGTTTCCCATATCCCGGGCCATGACCAAGCCACAGTTAAGTTCCTCATAATTATACACGCACGTGCATACCAACAAAACAACATCTTTTACATTCTCACAGATACACCAATGCATATTTACAACCGCTCATATAGCAGGGTATACGTATACAGTAAGTATAGTAGTAAACTTTCTCACTATCTTAGCATTATCAAAGACCACTGCCTGCTGCGCATCTTCTAGTAAATGGGATTTCAGCCATAATGCTTGTATTTTTCTTATTGTGTAGGCTGGTATCAAACTATTCATTGATAAACAATTCGAACTATGGTGACTTCATCGAGCTTATTCATTCTTTCATTTCTTCTACCAGCTCTTGATATTTACGCCTTTTCTCGGCATCTGTTTAGCAAATGTCATCCAGTGGTATTTGAATATTCAAATCATATAAGTATGAATGCACATTTTTTCCTCGTGCTTAACATAACTTCGCTCCCAATTCCATGTTTTTCTAAGACTACTCTTGGGGCATACTTATTTTAGGGCAAATTTTCAGCCTCTTTCATCAAGCTATCCTTTACCACAATTTGATTGATGCAACGTATAGGCTACATTATTCTGTCTGTAAGCCAAGTGCATCCATACTTTTTGTACTCCAATCCTTGACACTTATATCATTCCCTCTCACCAATTCGGTTTCTGTCCCCAACACCACTATCCAACAATGCTTAAGAGTAGTAGACACCATCTCATCGGCCCTAGAAAAAAAAGGAGTATTGCCTGGGCGCGTTTTTAGACATAGCACAGGCTTTCAACAGGGTCTGGCATCCAGGCATACTTATTACCTTTTAATGAAATCCTACCTAACTGATCGCTATTTCAGAGTGAGGTGCTGCAAAGAATTCTCAGAAGTCAAACAGACACAGGCCGGTATACCTCAAGGTAGTATCCTTGGTCCTGCTGACCTACCAACACATCCTGACACTATTATCACCACCTTCGCGGACGACACCGGAATCCTATCCTGTAACTCAAATCCTGTCCAAGCTACCTCCAACATCCAAGAACACCTTGAGCTTATCGAAGACTGGTGTAAAAAATGGAGGACAAGACTGAACGAAGAAAAATGCACTCAGTGTACTTTTATGCTGAAAAAGCAGTCTTGCCCTCCATTGTACATCAACAACAAAGAGATACCAGTTTCCACTCAAGTCAAATACCTGGGACTGTATCTCGACAGCAGACTGACTTGGAATCCCCACGCAAGACTTAAAAAACAGCAACTTAATACAAGACTTGGACTACTACGAAGACTTTTAAGACTGAAATTGACTTTGACAATTAAGACAAAACTATACAAGACTTTACTAAGACCAATATGGACATACGGAGTAGAACTGTGGGGCACTGCCAAGCCTTCCAATATCCAGTGCATCCAGTCCTTCCAATCGAAAGTCCTTAGACAAATTGTCAAAGCACCTTATTATGTCACTAACTTCACAAAGACCTCAACATTCCTTTTGCCAACGAACTAATCCAGTCCAGATTCCAAACCTTCCATACCAACCTTTCAAACCATCCTAACCATACTGCTCGAGCCCTATCCACTCATTCCCACCCTGACAACCCACCACATCGCCTCAACCGACGTTGGCCTCGGGACCTCCTTGATACCTAGTCATACACAATGAGTGCCAGCAATGGCTGGCTCCCCAAAGCATGTGTTCTATCGGTGCAGTGCTGGCATTAGTCTGTGTGATTTATCATTCATGTGTACATATTTGTATAGTATACAATTCTGTATAGGTAACAAATTTAAAAAAAAAAAAACTTTTTGTACTGGATAGATTCTATGGCTTTATAACACAGCCAATGTCGATTAGAGATCTGTCTTTCCTTGAGTATCTACCTTTAATATCTAGTGGCTATAACCAGATCCTGGAGTATAAATCTCTTCATTTCTGGTTAGATTTTTATATAGAAATATCCACAGACACCCCTTCCGGTCTTTAGTGCAGTATAAATTGCCTTCTGCTGCAGTCAAATCAAACACAGTATATCCTCAATTAATCATCTACTGCACTCGTGGCATAGTTCTTGAGTCACAAGTCCGAAAATGCCTTTGAAGAGCACTTTCCTGTTTAAGGCAGACCTCACGGATATTTATAAGTCCTCTACCACCAAACATTTTTGGCAGATATATTCAATTCTTAAAGGAATTTGGGTGATGCAAATTCGAATAGGTTATTATCATTATTAAGCCAAAAGTAGTGAGGATAGCCAGACCATGATAATCAGAAACAGTCAAACTACACTATTATTTTGCTAAAGATCAATTCCAACAATACACTTTTATTTTTTTTAAATAAATTTATGTTAAATAACCTCTTTACTTATGTCACAATCTTCCTCATCTATACCCAGTTTTCAGTATGCAATGCACTAATTGTTGGAGGTAGATGAGAAACTATAAGAATGGTGATGTGTCGTTAAGTAACTTGTTTTTTAATAATGACATATATTTTATGGTCATAAATTAAAATAAATCCTTAAATAATAGTATTTTCATATTGAATGTTGAAAACTTACAGGCTCTAATGTTATGTAAAGTGTGTGTTTCTCAGGGTCAGGTTTCAAGCCTTCAACTGCATTAATATATGATTCATCTGCGAGGAAGAAATGTGGAAAAGAGACGTAACCAGGCGCCCCGTATCGACATTTCGTGACATTAAGCACTCCTGAAGGGATGCATTCACCCTCGCAGAAACATTCGTTGCTCGGATCAAGGGTACCGTTGTCAAAAGTATACTCGTCCCCGGTGTATTTATATCCCTTTATGCCGTGTACTTCGACTTCTTCTTTGAACGAGAGGCTGACAGATCTGTAATTGATACAAGTATAATAAAAACTATCAGAAATTTTAAAAACAGTCTACCTGCAAAGATCTGGCGAATAAAACTGTAACTTTTTATCTTTGGTTTGTTTGGGTGGAAAGAGCTCTCCGGCAGAGCCATTGACCATTCCACAACCATCAGGATAAAAGTCAGTTGTTGGCTTGTAATTCCAGTTATGAAGTTTACCTAAATTGTAAATATTGTTTTCACCTGTATCCATATTGAAAACACCTTCACTATCACTTGTTCCATTTCTCTATAATTAAATATTACTTCAAAACTCTAAATCAAATTTAGAATAATTAATTATTTAGTCTTTAATTACTTTATAAAACCATCCAAACTTATCATATGGTATATTGACGCCCATCATATTAGGGAGAGACATCGCAATGTCAATCAGAGGGTCAGAATAGCCGTCAAATAAAATTTCACCAACTTTTTCAGTTACGTGGAGTTTGGTATTAACTCTGACCACTCCAAAGCCAAATGATAACTTCATAAATTCGGACCAGTCTCTGACGGTAAAAGCAGCACTCTCAAAATGAACAAAATTATTAAATTTCAGAAATATAACAAATCATGTAAACACAGAACGAACAATGTTACCATCGCAACAGCATTGAGAGTCGTGACATAATCATCTAATGTTCCGTTTGAGTTTTCAGCATCAAAGTACCACAGCCTTTGGATTTGAAATGTGACTGTACCATTACAATTCATAGTAATATTTGTTTTTCTTTCTTCTAACCTGAAAGTCATTTAACTTTATATTATTGCAATAAAGAAATTTAATAAAAATCCACTCTTGAAAAATTACTGAAAGAGCTTCTTGTCATTATAATTATTTTTAAAGAAATTTTACAAAATGGTTCTGTACACAATACATGGTAAACAGTAAATATTGATGCATACTTAAATCTGTAGGGGCCTATTTGTTCAAGTTTTGGCTTTTCGTGCTTGATGTTTTCATAATTAGTCCAGTTGAACAGGTAAAAGCTCATCTGCATTGGGATTGGGGTGTCCTTCCACAGGCGAAATGTGTGTGACCCTGATGTAACTTGCATTTGCTGTAAGCAAAGATACAGACTTAAATCTGTTAATAATGAAGTTGAAGTTCTCCCCCTAGGTAAATGCATTCTCTGCTTTCTTCATGTTTATAATTTATATAGTCTATTAAAAAAAAGGAATTATGAATCTATCATGATATGGGTATGGGCAAAAGGTCCAGATGAGCAATACATGGCCTTCAGGTCTACTGCAACCTTTCAAGCTGAATTGCAAGGTGTAAAAACATGTGCACATGAAATAAATAACAAACAACTCAAGGGTGCAATAATAATACTATCAGCCAGACTCCTCTCATTAACTCAAAACTCTACAAAAAGTCTGACGCCCTGCAATGTAGTAGCAGATATACAACCTTGGAACAACACACGCCCCAATCCATGGTCTGGCATAAATATAGCCACATTAAAAAATATCTGGAATGTTGGGGAACAAAAGAACACGACAAATATGGAAATTTAAGACTGGTATGAGGCAAGCAAAAAGACTACTCACAAAAACAACCCAATGGGAGAAAGAAGAAATTCTACTCAACCAAAAAGAACTAAAAACTCTAACAGGTATATTTACAGGACATGCCCTGCTAAAATGCCACTTGACTATCAACAGATTATCAATTTCAACTATGTCCAGAAGAGACATAGACAACAGAAGATATCCTATGCCACTGTCCCTCTGTCCTTCAGCGGTTAGGAAAATACTAAATGGTACCTGGGAAAGGCTAGGTACCATAGCCCCAAGAAGAATTAAGAACTTCATTAAAGAAATAAAAATCTTTCAGGAATCTATTTGCAGAGATCTGACATAATAGATAAAAGTAGTGCTAAAGGGAAAAACAGCAAAAAAAATCTTTGTTGAACGACAGTATGTTGTGTGATAGCAGATCATTTTGGCCTGCCTAACCTCACTACTTTGATGTTTCAGGCACATTTCGGTATTTGACATCTTCAGTGCTGGGTCAGACTGAACAAAAAAGCAAACATAGGCAGACCAAAATGATCAGAAACGAAACTACAGAATATATAATACTTGTGACCAATAGGGCATTTTAATGTTTGTACAATGAACCATCTGCTAATAAAGTAAATTTTGTTTCTCTTTGAAAAATGACACAAATAATGAGGAAGATAGGAACATGCTCATCATAGCAAAAATACCAAGCTAAAGAATTATAATTGTCGTATCGTTAGCAAACGTGATAACTATAATTATTTAGAAATCGTAAGATGCAGTCTGGTGTGATGTAGGTTTCAGAAAAACATTTTCTTTATCGTGCCAACGTTTCAATCTTTATTGAGATCATCTTCAGGGCCTGGGATTAGAAGTGAGTAGAAATATTGGGTTGTCCGGAAAATAATGCAGGATTTTGGTATTAANCATTCATACAAATGAGTAATCCTGTAAACGTAAACAGAATATTTTATATAGATTTTTTTTAATGAAAACTTAAAATCCTGCATTATTTTCCGGACAACCCGATACTTTGATTGAATATAAAAAATATTTTTTGCATTGTATAAATTCACTTTTTTCCACATCCTGCATGTATTTGTTAAATGTAAACAATGTTTGTAAATCCTAGGCCCTGAAGATGATGTCAATAAAGATCAAAACATTGGCACGATAAACAAAATGTTTTTCTGAAACCTACATCACACCAGACCACATCTCATTTCCGAATTATCATCGACTAACGATCACTAATCACAACACATATATTATTTATTTTTACGGGCACAAGCCAGAAGATGGCGAAACATTAGGACTAGATAACAAGTGCTTTTAAACTTTTATTTGAATATTTAGAGAAGGTCCAAAACTTACAACTATTTTGTAAAATAATAATTTAGTGAAATATATCAATTGTTTAATTTTTTTATTAAATCTCATTTGTACAACTATGATGGGGCTAGGCTATTTTTTAAATCTACAATCATAAAATCTTTATAAAAGTAAAAAGTTGACAAAATTGCAAAGAAAGGGAAAAAATTATTGGGCCAGAAGTGGTTTGGCAAAGCACTTTTTAAGTTTACAAGTTACAATTTTTAATTTACTTCTTTTTTTTTTTTTTTTTTTACAATTTTTTTTGTGTTTCTATACTCCAAAATATCGGACACGCATCCGCCACTTCTTGTAAATAAGCCCAGGTTTCGCCAAAAAACATTTTGAAATTTGGAATTTTTCGTTTTTTAATATTTCTATTTTACTCTTCTACTTGCTCAAATCAACTATGTGAATTTAACATTCTACAGATTACAGATCATTTAATTGCGACTAAAATTACATTTTGAAAAAAAGCTTCATTAAGCCGATGACTGAATTTCCTGAATATTCTTCTCTTTAGTCGCAATTAAATGTGAATAAATCATTATTTGAAGATTAAACCAATTTTATTTTTGGTGGATTAATTTCATTGTTAGATAAGATAAAAACAAAAATGTTCTACGATGCAGAATATTCAAAATTGGTATGATTTAAAAAGAAAAATCAACAAAATGCTGATTTTTTTGCTCATTTTAACGAGTATTATGTAAGCAAACTAGAAAAGAAAATGGTCAAAATTTGGATTTGACCTCATTGTCGTTGTTCTAACGTTATAAAACCCTTAGATACCAACTTCCGAGGAAATCGGTGAAAATTAATTTTTTGACTTGATTTGTTGATAAGTTCGACGACCTTCTTCGTGATTGACCTTCCCTGGTGAAAGCCCTGATCATTTTTCTCAATACTTAGGAGACCGATTTTCATAGTTGATAGTTTGTTTTAAACAAATTGTCAAGTGCATTTTAAAAATGTAAAAATCATTAAAATCGGACTATATTTCCACTTAAAAAACGAGGTTAATTTCTGACAAAAATATTTCATTATTTTATGTATTTTCTTAGAAAAATCTTTTATATATTTTTATAATAAATCCGTCGCTAAAAAGTTGCGTTTCTATTCTTTCAAATGGTGTTTTATGTTAAAATCCGTTTAGTCGATCGATCAGATATACCGAGGACTTCTTAAAAGTCCGAAAATTTTTAAGGGTCAAAAAATCGATTGAAAAAAAATCTCAATTCAAATAATTTATTTATATTTAGGAGTCTCACGAGGTGCTAAAACGAAATTTTATATTAGTTCCACAAAAAAATAACCTAGTTTACTTGAAAAATATTTGGTTTTTAGACATTTTTAGGTTATTTATAAACTTCTATAGCTTGTACTATATTCCTCTACATAAAAAATGATGTAAAATGACATTCACATAGTTTATTTGAATAAGTAGAACGACAAAATAAACATATTAAGAAACGGAAATTTGAACTTTCAAAAAAAAATTTCTGGTGAAACCAGAATTGCGAATAAGCCACAAGAAGTGGTAGATACGTGTCCGATATTTTGAAGTGTATAATCACACAAAAAAAAATTTGGTCCAAATCTGTGACACACCAACCTGGTCATTCCCTTTATGTACAACTTTTAGCTTTAAATTAAAATAAGCAACAAGTTATACTATTTTGCAGAATTTACGAGATTGCATTTTTGTTGGAATTTCCCCTGGTAGATAACGATTTATGTTCGAAAAAAATCAGCAGATTAAAAGTTATTTCTGGAAATACAGATCGGCAGTGATGAACACTGAGTATAAGCTTTTAAGAGGGTTAATTAACCATTGGCCATGTCCTAAATCAAATAAAAGAAAGAAACTATTTTTTAAAAAATTATGTGTTGATCGACTCAAATCATAAAATAAACGATACTAATGGACATTTCGATAGCAACGCAAAACTGATAACTGGATACAAATAGTATATTCAAGAAAAAAAAGTGTGCGAGAATTTATCATCAAAAGTCGTCGTTTTTTTAATAAATGGCCTTCAACCACTACGGGTCATTTATCATTAAAAGTTTAAAATTCACAATTACTCACTTTATATTCAAATGGTTTTCTGACTGTTACTAAAAAAGTATATGCGGCTGTTTAATGTTTGATTGTTGCCGATAATAATGAAGTAGCATGCGAAGTGGACAAAACAAAAAATCAATAAATAAATTTGTTTTTGTCCAATTGAGAATGTCCAATTAATTGTTTTGACTTGCTAATAATTTTTTTTATAATTTTGTTTGCATTTTTATAAAGAAATAATATATAATAAATCTTACAACAGATTTTTAGTTTGTTCTTAATGTAAATATGTTCAATTTATATTTAAAAAAAAGGGTTGCGTTTCAAGGGTATTTTTATTTTTTAGGTAATCATCATAGAGAGATTCCAGAGCTAAAAGTATTACAGATCATTAGATCGTAATGACTTAGGTTAAAACAAATAACTATGTATACAAATCAAAACTGAACTTTTTCCCATTGCATTTTAAATCGAACAATAATAAAATTTACAAAAGGCCCGCTCAGTTAAAACACACGCTTTAATTTTCATTTTAAACGTATTTTGTTCTTCAAGATGATTGTATACCTTGTGAAGTAAAGACTCGAAAACAGGTGGCCAGATGAAGAAAAAGGTGACACCCAGTATGGACATGAGTGCTCCGACGGTTCCCAAAACGTACGTCTTCATTTCGCTGGCTAGGAGTGCCATCCTGAAAATAATAAAAGGTCTTACATGTTTTTTTAAATCCTTGCACAGGAAAATCTATATTAAAAGAAGAGTTCCTGACAAAATACAATAATAGATAAAAATGTAATTACAATATCCTCGTGTTATATATGTTATATATATGAGTGTGTTATACTGTACTACTATACTAGACTGAATTATGTACTATTGTGTTAAGATTATTTATTACTAAATTTGCTATTTATTAATTATTAACACTATTTATTATTTATTTATTTGTTATTTAATACTAGTGTACATTAAATTATCATTGTTATATTTAAGCCATAATTAGAAAGACACATTATAAAAATGAAAATTATAACTAAGAAATTACGATAAATTGATATAATTATCTGTTAGAGCTGAATAAAATAAAATGTTAACATTAAGTTTCCTGACTTCGGTAAGAGAGGACCCTATGGTCCTATGTAAGCTTCAGGTTAATAAACTATTCATTCATTCATTCATTCATTCTCTATCTATCTATCTCTCTCTCTCTCTCTCTCATTGTCTCTCTCTCCNTCTCTCTCTCTCTCTCTCTCTCTCTCTCTCTCTCTCTCTCTCTCTCTCTCTCTCTCTCTCTCTCTCTCTCTCTCTCTCTCTCTCTCTCTCTCTCTCTCTCTCTCTCTCTCTCTCTCTCTCTCTCTCTCTCTCTCTCTCTCTCTCTCTCTCTCTCTCTCTCTCTCTCTCTCTCTCTCTCTCTCTCTCTCTCTCTCTCTCTCTCTCTCTCTCTCTCTCTCTCTCTCTCTCTCTCTCTCTCTCTCTCTCTCTCTCTCTCTCTCTCTCTCTCTCTCTCTCTCTCTCTCTCTCTCTCTCTCTCTCTCTCTCTCTCTCTCTCTCTCTCTCTCTCTCTCTCTCTCTCTCTCTCTCTCTCTCTCTCTCTCTCTCTCTCTCTCTCTCTCTCTCTCTCTCTCTCTCTCTCTCTCTCTCTCTCTCTCTCTCTCTCTCTCTCTCTCTCTCTCTCTCTCTCTCTCTCTCTCTCTCTCTCTCTCTCTCTCTCTCTCTCTCTCTCTCTCTCTCTCTCTCTCTCTCTCTCTCTCTCTCTCTCTCACACACACACACACAAAACATTCCCTTTCTATCTCTGTCTCACTCACTCACTCTCCCTCTCTGAATAACGTTCAGGTTGATTGATCATTAAATTATAATTTGTACTCCTACGTACTACTACGTTGTTTTACAATTTTTTTCTTCTTTGATGATGTCTAAAATGTAAATTAATTGACGCCTTTTCGTGAATTATTAGCTACCACATCTCATAAAAGTAAATCGAACATTATGTACACGTGTAATAAAGTGCTAGAAAATTGTCCATTTTACACTAAAACGTATTAAAATTTACAAATAAAAATATTCTCATCGTAAATTACTTGTTATGTTTTGGAAAATCCGATGATCATCCTGTTCGCAAATTAACAATTTAAAATTCGGACTCTTGGACTAAAACGTTTACTTTGACTAAAAGGTAGTGACAAAGAGTCAAAGGTTTTCTGCTGCATGACGACAACTGTGCATATTTATACGTGTGTTCAACATTATTTACACTGTTGAATGAACAATTTAACAGTTTGCAAACAATCCACGCCACCGTTGTTGTTTTAAAGACGAATCATTACCTCAATATATTTATTAATGAGCCATCGATATTTTAAAAAATGGGGGTTTATTGCATTTTAAATGGTAAAATACTGACTTTGTAATTTTAATTCGGTTTAAAAAAGATACATCAACGTTTTGTAATATTTTATGAGTTCCTTAAAAATTTTATTGTTTAAATTTTGGGCTGTCTCATTTTAAAAATTAAATCAAAAAGGCACAAGGCCGAAAAATATTACCGAGACTGAGCGGGTTTTTATTTTTTCTTATTTTGTATTTACTTTTTTTTAAATTTGGGTTTCTGCCTTTGTTGTTCATGTATTTCAAGGTTGTTGTATATTAGTAGAGTTTATTTTTTTTCTAGGATAAGAAAATAATACGCAAGGTTCTATTAAATGAAAAGGCAAATAATTAGAGAAGGCAAAAATTCGGAATAGTTTTTAAGTAGCGTTTAAAACACTTAACTACGGATTTTCCTTACAAATTGCTGAATTTCTCCTCTTCCAGTCTTTGTCAACAAGGTTTTAATTTTATGGCATTATAAGTGAGATAAATAAGAACAAAATCGATCAAAAACTCCTCAAAAGTTTTATTTTACATATCCTACTGTAATTTATGTACGGAAGCCAAATTTATTACATATGTAGTTTATAGGATCCTAAAGCGTTCTTGTAGATAGGTAGAGTTGTTTTAATATTGTCACCATTTTTGTGATTTTTTGTGATGAGAGAAAAAGAAAGTAAGCAAATGGAAGAGGAAACTTTTTTTTTCTCCTCCAAAAGAAATATATTCAGGGATTTTTGAGATGCGGAAAAGACTGTCAAATTTGTTTCTTAAGGTTTTGATTTAATGTCAATTTAAATGAGATAAATAAGAATGAAATCGATCAGAAACCCCTCAAAAGTTTTATTTTACATATCCAATTGTAATTTACATACGGAAGCCAAATTTATGCCATTACATGTAGTTTATAGGATCCTAAAGCCTTGTAAAGTTTCCTGTAGATGGGTAGAGTTATTTTAATATTATCAGCATTTTTGTGATTTTCGAGAAAAAAGTAAGCAAATGGAAGAGGAAACATTTTTTATTTTCTCCTCCAAAAGAAATATATTCAGGGATTTTTGAGATGCGAAAAAGCCTATCAAATTTGTTTCTTAAGGTTTTGATTTAATGTCATTATAAGAGAGATAAATAAGGACGAAATCGATCAAAAACTCCTCAAAAGTTTTATTTTATTTGTACAATCTTATTTTTTCACGGAAGCCAAAGTTATGCCTTTACCTGTAGTTTATAGGGTTCTAAAGCTTTGTAAAGTTTCCTATAGATGGGTAGAGTTGTTTTAATGTTATCACCACTTTTGGTGATTTTCGAGAAGAAAAAAAAAGTAGGGAAATGAAAGAGGAATAATTTGAGGGAATTTGTTAGAAAAAAATTTTCTTTTTCTATTTTTCCCTCAAAAAGTAATGTATTCAGGAGTTTTCATGGTGCGAAAAAATACTGTCAAGTTTGTTCCTGTCAAAAAAAAAGTTTACCTACTTTGCTATGTCGCTTGCTCACGAAATAGTTATCGTGTTAGTTAATAAATAAAAATTTATTCGTCCGCTTTTTTTTCATGTCTTAAAGCTGGGCTTCTTCAGATCTTGTTTGTAAATATTTAAATGTTTTAATAGTATGTTGTGAACTGCGGAAAGAAAACAAAATATTTTAAGTAATTTATATTTTTTATTCGTTTTAAAAAAAGTTTAGTTTGGAATTCGGTTTTTTGCCTTTGTTGTTCATTTAGTTCAAAGTTATTGGTATATACATATGTCCATGTTTTTACATAGGATAAAAAATAATATGTAGGATTCTATTTTATGAGATTAGATATATAAAGACTTACAACAACGAAAAGACGCCTTCAATAAAGTATCAACAAAAAACTTTTTATAAATCACTCGTAGCATAGTTCTTGAGTCACAAGTCCGAAAATGCCCTTGGAGAGCACTTTCCTGTTTAAGGCAGACCTCACAAATATTTATAAGTCCTCTACCACCAAACATTTTTGGCAGATATATTCAAATCTTAAAGGAATTTGGGTAATGCAACCTCGAATAGGTTATTGCCATTATTAAGCCAAAAGTAGTGAGGATAGCCAGACCATGATAATCAGAAACAGTCAAACTACACTATTGTTTTGCTAAAGATCAATTCCAACAGTACACTTTTATTTATGTTTTACATAAATTTTTGTAAAATAACCTCTTTATTTATGTCACAATCTTCCTTATCTACTAGCCAGTTTTCAGTATGCAATGCACTAATTGTTGGAGGTAGATGAGAAACTATAAGAATTGTGATGTGTCGTTAAGTTACTTGTTTTTTAATAATGATATATATTTGTATATGGTCATAAATTAAAATAAATTCTTAAATAACAGTATTTTCATATTGAATGTTGAAAACTTACAGGCTCTAATGTTATGTAAAGTGTGTGTTTCTCAGGGTCAGGTTTCAAGCCTTCAACTGCATTAATATATGATTCATCTGCGAGGAAGAAATGTGGAAAAGAGACGTAACCAGGCGCCCCGTATCGACATTTCGTGACATTAAGCACTCCTGAAGGGATGCATTCACCCTCGCAGAAACATTCGTTGCTTGGATCAAGCATAATATAAAGACTTACAACAACGAAAAGACGCCTTCAATAAAGTATCAACAAAAAACTTTTTATAAATCAATTCGGATTATTTTAAGCCCCGTTTAAAAACCCTTAAATAAGAATTTTTATAGTAGAAAAACAGTACCAAAATTATTTCGATTTTAAACTTATTTAAGACAGCATACGGTTAAAAGTTAATTTTCCTTTAGTTTTAAACTTGTTTTACCAGTTTTATTTAATGTAGATTTTTTAAATATCCACGTGTGTCAGGATGAATTTTGTACCCTAAAGGAAGCGTGAATAAAAATAATTGGTTTATAAATTATATATAGAAAAATAATTATTATAAGGAAGGTTTACAATAAATAGTAAAAAAATGCAAATGTAAGACAAGCGGCATGAATATTTCATTTGATTGGGGCCTTTTTTTTATGAAATTAAATCAGGAAAAATCTACCTTTGGTAAAAAAAAAAATCATGAATTTAAACCTAATTTGGCTGCAGTTATTTAACTCCGACACAGGCAAAATGGGATAAACAACAACCGATAATACGATTTGCTACAATAAAAACCGATGCGTCAATACTGACGATAATGATAACTGGAGCCTGGACGTTTGTATGAATGGTAATGTAAGCACGTAGGTCACTACGCACAATAAATGCCGAGTTGTTCCATTTGAAAAACTGGATTTAATCAGCCAAATGGCATATCTGAAGACATTGAATTGTATAAAGACCAAGGTTAGAATTTAAGAAATTCCCTTGTCCCATTTTTAATTGCCGTCCAATTAGCTCAATTCGTAATAAACCCCAACTCTTCTTGTACTATTATTATTTACATTAAAGCATTTAATATCGTGACAAGAAAAGAAAAAATGTTTTGGTAACGTACATCCAGGAAATCCTGTTGAATCGGGCTATACTTTAAATATTTCATATTTATTTAATTATAGCACTTAAAAGGTAATATTTCACGAACCCACAAATCTACAGGTTTTGCGTCACTATATGTAATGCATCACTTTGGCTTTCGTAAAAAAATTAGGACTGCAGAAATAAAATAAAACTTTTGAGTGTTTTCATTCTTATTTATCTCACTTATAATGACATTAAATCACAACATTAAGAACCAAATTTGTTTGTCTTTTTCGCATCCCAAAAACCCACGAACATATTTCTTTTTGGGAGGAGAATGAAAAAATAAATATTTCCCTCAAAATTTTTCTCTTCCATTTGACTAATTTTTTCTCTCGAAAATTACAAAAAAATAATGATAACATTAAAACAACTCTACCCATCTACACCTACAGGAAACTTGACAAGGCTTTAGAACCCTATAAATTACAAGTAAAAAAAATTTGGCTTCCGTACAAAAATTGAAAGAGTTGAGTAGTGCCCGCAATCATATGCTATTAAAAAACCTCAACTATGCAATATTGTATGCACTAAAAGGCCCTCAAATGTGCCGTATAATTTGCACTAAAAATATTAAAATACACAGGATGAATGTAATAATAATTAATTCATTATTACCAACAATTAACTTTTTTAATCTAGATTTTTTTGGACTTGTAAATATTCATTTGGTCAGGAAGTAGAAAAGAAAACTTTCGGTCAAAAAAAAATCATAGAGTTGATGGTAGCGAGTCGGTGAAATGCTGAACAGCAGCATTGGCTCAATTTTTGGGTCCGTCTTCACCCCGGGTTCATTACTCAAACTCGTTTCGGTATTGCGGCATTTTCAGTGATGAATTTAAACTATAATAACCTTTTGACATAAAAGTTCTTCACTGAAGAAGGCGCAGTGCCGAAACGCGTTTGAAGACGGAATGGTTCAGCATGAAAAATCATAAAAATTTAAAATATTACACAAAATTAATAATTAGATCCAATATATTTAGTGGTCTATTGACCAAATTACTTCTTTCAATTAATAATTAGGCTTAATTAGGTTCATGATCTGATTTAAAATTGACAACGATATACTACATTTCAAATTAGTTTATGTAAAACCGAAACGTATATCGCGCAAAAAGTATTTTTACCTCGGAAAAAAAACTTTCCAACGCCAACTGATGTAATGGGAGCATACACGTAGGAACTGGAAATAATCGTATCGTCGATTCCCTTTAGGACAACAAATTATTTCCATTTAAGATTTCACACATTTATTTGTATTTTTGCCAAGGATATTTTTTAATTTCTGTTAAATGCATACGCAATAGACTGCATCGCCGGGACTTCAGTTTTGCGTTGAAAACAAAAAAACAGCCTGCTATTTTAGAAGTTCCATCTTTTGGAATTTTTAGGTTTATTAGGTTGGAAATATGAATGACTGACACTGACCATTTTTGTGTTTTAAACGAGGCCCCTACTTCCTTCCATAACCCGACTCTCACAAAATTTAGTTTTTCCGGAAAGTAAAACAAAACTGCAACTAGGAGTTTTAAAAATTGGGGGAGAGGCTCAAAATATATGCCGATTATTTCAAGATAATTCTATTGTGTCGGTTTGTTTACGCCTGTAACTGGAAAGTTAACTGAAATCCGAATAAAATTTTAGGCTGTTTTTTTCCTCTCATGTTCTTAGTTGCCTAGTTTATTTTGTTTTTCTAAGTAATCAAAAATGGTTCAAATTTGCGATATTCTTCAAATATACAAAAACTTGCAGACTGAATTTTGAACCGCCTTTACTGCGGTGGTATAATTCGGATAAATATCTAATCTCATTGGTCGTAAATGTTAGAAAAAAGAATATGCAATTGAACTCAATTCCGGGTTCTAGTCATGAGGGATATTAATTTTTTTTATTTAAATAATAAATAGGCAATCTACATAATTATTTCTGCTATTAGCGCGCACGTGTGGTTTTTTCTATAAGTGAAATTTTTTTTAAATAAATGTATTCAATTAAATTGACTGGTTAGATTACAAAAAAACAAAATAGGGCAACAATTCTCCTTGGACGATTTCTTAATAATAAATTAAACTTACCACAGTCTACAGGAGGATTTTTATGTTTATTCCGCAATGAGATGAGATATAAACAAAAAATAAAACTTTTTTAACAATAGTTTATTTCATTTACAAGAATGGAATCCATTATTACACAAGACGGCCCGTGAATGACGGATGTACTGACTGGTTCTTTGGGTTTTACGCTTATCTTATCTCCCACTGTTTTTTCCCCCTTTTCACCCATGAATTGTTTATTCATTCGGTTGTCAAACCGTGCAATCTGATTGTATTAAGTCCCCTTAGGTCAACTGTCGGCTTGACTATCTGTCCGTTATTCATTACACAGTATAATTGATATGACCTGCAGGATAATTAATTTAGAGTTAATTAACTATGGTTTAAATATAGCCTACGCTTGGAAGGAAAAGAATAGCATTTCGACATTTGATTTATACATTATTTAACTGCTTATTTGTAAAAACACATCGAGTGAAAGTTCACAAATATTACAAATAGCATTTTCAAGTTTATATAGAAACAATTCCTCCCAACCGGAGGGCATTACTTATTAACATTTGGATAATATTAAAACACTTTAAGAAAATTATGTTTCTCTTATAACCAAAATCTAAATATTTTCCTTGAACTTCTTAGCCTTAACAAATTAAGTAAAATGCATTAAAAAACTTACCAATGGAAGAACATAAATATTCTGGTGCTAGCATATTTTGCTAACACACCATAAACAATTTTAATATGCATAATCGAAAGTCAAACTTTCTGTTTTTTCTTAAAGTTCTAATTTGTTATGTTCCTTCCAACAGTTAATGCATCTGAATAGAATACAGCGAGAATGTGCGGACCAAGTTGTATATGAATAGGATTGAATCGTTGACAATCGTTCATCAAAATTAAAAACCGTTTAATAAATTCATTCAAAATTTCCTTTGATTTTTATTATTATGAATCTTTAATCCTTCAACCACGGTTTTTTCTTTTCCTCCATCAATTTCTTCATCTTTGAAAAAGTAATTAAAGAAGCAATTGCACCACTAAAAAGGATATTAAATGGAGTACGTTTGATGAAATTTGTTGGTCTCTAGGTTTGGAAATAGTAGTTTAGAATCACAATTGTAAGTTTTTCAACTTTGAAAAAAAATTCGAAGTTCTCGCTACTAAAACGCTTATTTCACGAATGTTTACAAGTTTAGTATTGATCACTTATTGAAAATTTAACGTAGTTTTCAATGGTATCAACGGACTTATCCAAAAACTGTTGAGATTCGGATCACAGTAAATTAGAACTTTCGTTCCTTTTTGAATACTTCTACTGGCAAAGTTTGCCCAAAATATTATTTTTTTCATGTTTTTAGCGAATCCCTGACAAGCTGACATTGCTTCTAGAAGTGAAAAATGTTGAAAGATTCACAGATATTTGATATACAAATGTGATATTGTGATGTGGTTTAAATAAAATCCACTTTTTCAATTTTTCTGATCGTTAATTTTTTTTCTTTCTACGGTTAGAAGAGCGTCTAAATTTAACAAAGCGAGAATGTGCGGACCAAGTTGAAAATAGGAGCGAATCGGTGACAAGCGTTTAAAAAACTACTAGCATTCTTATGTTAACATATTTTCCTAAAACACCCATAAAAATGAAATATACGAGATTCTCGTTTTGTAATAATCAAAATTCATATTGTCAATTTGTCTCATCTTCTAAACGAGCTTTGCAGACAGCGCGTCTTAAACAAAGCGTGAATGTGCGGACCCAGTTGGATATAAGATCCAACCACTTACAAGCTCAAAAATGGACTAAGCTCCCATCCTTCAAACTGTAAATGCACAGCCATGTTTGTTACATATTAGATGAAAAAAAATTGTATCATTGATAAATCCATATGGCCAAGAAAGAAAGTGTATTGTAAATTATTTAAATAAAATATTAAACAAGTTATGTCTCAAATGTCAATATCTGCCTCATTTCATGATGTTCCCAAAACTAAGCTTACCTATTTGTGAATTCGTCCATAAAAAATATATCCTTTTTAAAGAGATAGTTCCTACTCACAGTAAGTTTTTGCAACGATCCGGATTTCGAGCCTTTTAGCTCATCATCAGGTTGAAGGACTTCTACAACGTCTCTCGACATGAATTGCCAAAGTGAACCCGCTGATACCTCCGCCAACGCGACGTTCCAATTAGCAGCTGATTTTTTAATGGCGCTCAATTTTAACGTGCGAAACGCGGAAATTATAACACAAATAAATTAATTCATGTCGAGAGACGTGGTTGTAGAAGACCTTCAACCTGATGATGAGCTAAAAGGCTCGAAATCCGGATCGTTGCAAAAAACTTACTGTGAGTAGGAACTATCTCTTTAAAAAGGATTGAACACCACACTCACTCCATCATTTATCATTTCTAAAAATATATGTTTCATCTAAAGTACATAGGTATTTTCATGTTAGCAGTTTGTTTTAATTACTTTTAGAAAATGAAATTTATGACCGTTGTAGCGCCTAAATCTAACACAACGAGAATATCCTGACCCACTTGAATACAAGATCCCACTATATGCAACTAGTTCAAAAAAGTTCAATAAAAGCCATGTTTGAAAATGGGGATACAAAGCCATGTTTTTTACAAACTAGGTGGGAAAAAAAGATTCATTATATTAATTGATAAATCCGTACAGCTAACAACTAAACAACCTTTTTGTAAATTATTGAAACAAAATATTAAGAAAGTAGTTTTTATTTCTACCTGTCTAAAAATAAAAGCACCCAATAATATAAATTGCTCCGAAAAAAATTCTACCATCCGAAATATATAGGTATTCTCATGTTATTTTTTTAAAATTACCTTAATAAAACGAAATGTGTGACGATTATAGCGTCTTAATCTAACACAGCGAGAACGTGCGGACCCCGCGTTGAATATAGGGCTGCCGAATTTTAAACAACAAATAACCGACATGGCTTTAAAATATGAAGTGATATATGTACCCTCGTTTGTTATATACTACGCAAAACAAAAACTTGTTATATAAATTATTTAAGTAAAATGTTGATCTAGTAATTGTTATTTCTGCCGGAATGATTCACGATATCCTAGAATAGAAATGTAGCTTATTATCAAATTCATTCATAAAAAAAATATTTTTACTACCCGAAGTAAACAAGTATTTCCATTCTTGTAACTTTTTAAATTCACCTTAAGAAAATGATATAGCATTTTTCAACCACATGAAACTTTTTTTCAATCAAATGAAACTTTTTTCAATCAAATGAAACCTTTTTTCAATCAAATGAAACCATTTTTCAAGCAAATGAAACCTAAAACCTAATGATAATAATTATGTATAATGTAAATAAATGACATTATAGTACTAATAATATTTTTTATGATGATTGAATATTAATATTAAAATAATTGAATCGTAAGGCTTAGGTACAAGAACGCTTCTTGTGAAGATCCGTTTTCGCGTTGGCGGGGGTATCAGCGGGTTCACTTTTGCAATTCATGTCGAGAGACGTGTTTGTAGAAACCCTTCAATCTGATGATGAGCTAAAGGGCTCGAAATCCGGATTGTTGCGAAACAACTTATTGTGAGTAGCAACCATCTTTTTAAAAAGGATTGAACTCCACACCCACTCCATCATTCATAATTTCTATGATAGAAAGGTGTTGCTCGCTCAAAAACACTTTTCAATCCTACTTAATTAAACTTCGACGGGGTGGATGTAGAAAAGTTTGATGAATACGGATCTTCACAAGAAGCGTTCGTACCTAAGCCTTACGATTCAATTATTGTAATATTAATATTCAATCATCATAAAAATTATTTTTAGTACTATAATGCCATTTATTTATTCCTCTACATAATTATTACCATTAGGTTTTGCTTGAAAAAAGGTTTCATTTGCTTGAAAAAAGGTTTCATTTGATTGAAAAAAAGTTTCATTTGGTTGAAAAAAAGTTTCATTTGACTGAAAAATGCTATATATAAGACATGTCTAACGTTTACAGCGAGATCGTGCGGACAAAGTGGAAAATAAGTGTACCTGAATATTCCTTCATAAAACATTATTTTACTATCCGAAGTAAATAAATAATTCCATTCTTGAATCTTTTTTAAGATGCACCTTAAGAAAATAAAATATTGTATTTGCAATAACGAAAATCCACATTTTTTAGTGTTTCTTATCATGTGGAACTGGTTGATTACAGGAGAGAATCACTGACAAAAGTTCAATAACAGCCTAAATGTATCGAGACACTCAGCTGTTTTTTTCCTAAATTTATATCCTAAATTTAGATTTCTAATTTTTCTTATCGTTCCAATTTATTTTTTGTTTCCATGGTTAGTTTGTTTGAATCTTGCACAGCAAGCACGTTACGATCAAGTTGAACATCCTAAATTTAGATTTCTAGTTTTTCTGAAAGTCCTATTTATTTTTCTTTACATGGTTAGATTGTCTGAATCGAGCACAGCGAGCACGTGCGGACCAAGTTGAATATAAGATCCAACCACTGACAAATGTTTGAAAAAACTTCGAAATGTACTGAAATATACAACTGTGTTTTGTTTACATATTTTGCTATAAAAAAACAATTATATCGATACATAGATCCATACGACCCAGAATTGAATAATTTGTTTTGTAAATTATTTAAATAAAATATTAATAAACAGACCCAATTATAAATTCCTCTTTAAAATTTAATTGTACTATACCTAGCACATAAATAGTATAATGGTAGCATATCTTTTCATTTTTATATTTGTTTTGTAATAGTAAACATTTAGATTTACAATTTTTCTAATCTAACGTTTTTCTAATTTATTTTTCTAAATATAGTTAGAGTGTCTGAATCGAACACAGCGACAATGTGCGGACCAAGTTGAATATAGAACCGAAACAACAGACAAAAGTTCTGGTAAGAGGTGAATCTGCTTCTGGTATAACTTTTTTTAAAAACTCCATGTGGGTTTATTTTAAGTAAATTCATTGTTTATTAGGACGTTTCGTGAATTTACACTCATCATCAGCATGTACATTTTTTAAAATTTAATATTAATTATTTTTATTATTTAATTTGAAAAAGTAATTACGATGTTTTGGATGTCTAACTCCCTTCATCGGGCCGATAAAACATAAAAAATTCAATTATAATTTTTC